ATACATACATATATTTATAAGTACATAAGTATATTTAAATTCGCTTTACATAAATATGTAAGTATGTATATTATATTAATACACTTACATACGTATCTGTTAAAGTAAGTACAAAAGTACATTCAATATGTTAAATTTGGTGAGCACATGCGTTTGCTAAACTGATACTCAACGCTTTTGCTGTGTACTGTGCTTGCGTAGCGTGTGAACGTATTGCGTGGAGTATAAATATCAGGAATGATTTCGGAACGCGGCTCCGTTCGTTGTAAAATTATCAAAATTGTTTATTTTACATTAGGGGTGTTCTTTGAGTCTTACAAAGCCCTTGCACGGTGCACAAATTGCATGGTGAAAAACGGTTTTCGTTCAATGGTCAGGTTTTTTTCGAAACTTTAATTGCAATAAGAAATTCTTTCAGATTTTCTGGGAGGGGCAAATGGAAATTTCACCCTTGTCCTAAGCCTTGAACTAGAACAAAGCTATGCACTCATGTTACAGTAGGTATTGTATATATATGTGTATAAGTATGTGTATTTTTTGAAATACTGTGTTCTATATCGATGGGGGAGTGGACGATCGACCTATCTCGGCAGGCGGTTCGAAAACACCCCATCTCAGAAAATGTTTCAACAATGCTCTATTTCAGAATTTTATTCAAGACCACCCTACCTGAGAATTTGCTTGAAATATGTCCTATCTCAACAGCCGATTCAAAAACGCCCTATCATGACATGTTTTTATCATGCGCCCTATTTCAGCACATTTTCAGCGTATTTTCAGCTGAGATAGGGCGTTTTTGAACCGAAGTCTGAGATAGGGCGTTCTTCAACCAAAATCTTAGGGTGTTTTTTCAATAAAGGGCGTTTACGTACAGGCTTCCGAGATTGGTCGATCTTCCACCCAATATATCGTTACCAGAATATAGATGTGCCCTATCTAACATTTTTGTTTCCGTAAAGCAGTCATGCCCAGCCCAGGGCGCTTGCATATGGAATTCTGTCAGCGCAGGGCATTTGCTTATGGAGTTTTGCCAACGTTCGGCAAGACTGCCATAGATTATTAAAAAAAAACGCTACAAAAACCAAAGTTTTGCAAGACAAGATTACTTGCTTATGTAGCAGTTGTTTTTGAATTTTCTGAGCATTTAGTATTTTGTAAAACTGCGAGGGCGTTTTTAAGCTGGCTATATGTAACGATAAGTTGTGTTTTCGCATGTACATAATGCAAACTTCAATTATTGTTTAAGAAAATATGTAGGTATGTAAATCCACAAGATTTTAGAATAAAAAAAACTAAAAACTTTTAGTTTTATGCTGAATTTCCACTAGGCATTAAATGGTAAAAATGATAAATGACAAAGTTGGGCATTAAAAAATAATCGTGTCATTACGTTAAAAAAATGGTCATTAAGTTCATTTCCACATGGCATTTTTTTTTAAATGGCATACATTTCTTGTCATTCCAATGCCTAGTGGAAATTCGGCATTAGAGTACAAAAAGTTTCGAAACCTTGAATAGGCAAACTTAGCTGGTTAACCAAATGTTTCTAGCAGAATTTTTAAATTCGCTGACATATGTAGAATGCTCCCAGCGGCCATTTTGCTTTCGAAAACAGAGATTTACAATGATATTAAGTATCTTTTACTGATTAAAAAGGTAACTTCGGCTGAACTAATACATACATATCAGCGGCTCATAAATTGAAACAGATATCTATCAGGATCATATCATTGTTGTTGCATTTGCGTGCAAATTTTTTGTCCGCATCCCGATCATTGCCCCAGAAAACACAGCTATTGTTACCTTAATTCACAAAGGCCCTAACCAACACTTTTTTTACAACTCGGTTCTTCACAGATTTCGATAGGAGGTATTAAAGAACACCTTCAATAAAAATTTTAAAGTGTTGCTACCAAAAACAACGGAGTTACATACCACTTTTTAAAAAGTCCTACCTGTTTTTGATGTTTTTTTAAAACGTTTTTTGCTTCTCCAAAAAAATAAAAAATATGTTGGTTAGGACCTTTGTGAATTAAGGAAACGATATCAAATTTCCGAAATATACCCACTAAATTCAATATAAAGCCAACAAATTTTCATTACAAATACTTTCTTTAGTTCATATTTTTATTTTCGTTAAAATGTGTATTGTATATGTCGCCTGCTTATATACATAGTACTACTATAAGTCTACCTACTTCTCGCACGTGTTTTGCAAGTGTGTCTATCCTTTGCCCTAAATAAGAAATTTCTTCTCGTACTTTCTATGCAAAGCTGTCTGAATAAGAGTAAATTAAATGTGCCTACTAACAAAAACATGTTAAGACAATTTAAAAATATATATATGTACATGCCTGTTTTGAAAATCGTACGATTTGTATCGGTGGGATTTGCAAAATAGTATTTGTGTATAGTAATAAAAGTTATGATAGTTGTATACATGTCGATTTGAAATCGTACGAATTTCAAACATGCGTGATAGTTTCAGTCCATGGCGTATCTACAATTCTATTTTGCATTTTTCCTTTCTTTTGTACATATTTTCAGCAGCTTTTCAAGAAATCCTAACCAACCACCACTTAATTGAAATATCAATCAGCAAAATAAATAATAAAACCAATTTTAGTTTAATTTCCTATTAGTTATAACCAACACAATCACAACCATCAATATCACCATTAAACAACACTCACATTCAAAACAAGCCCCTGTGGCACTTGCAAAACATAGAGAACTCACAACATTTGAACGAAAAAAATTAAATTTCTTTATCAACGTCATCTATTGTGCGAATTTTCCACCATAGGCCTATCCGAGACAGCCGTTATGGACGTAATGTCATCCTCACTGCAACAACAACGTATCATCGTCGAGCAGTTGCGTCGCGAAGCGGCCATCGTGCGTCAACCGGTCTCCGAGTCTTGCGCTCAGATGATCAAATATATCACCGAACACGAGCAGGAGGATTACCTCTTGACTGGCTTCTCCAGTCAAAAGGTCAATCCCTTCCGTGAGAAATCCTCTTGCACTGTACTTTAAACTGTTTACAACAACATTAATCAATATGCAAATATAAATTGCAAGTCGTCGTTGCCAATATTGAGGCGGGGGAGGTGTACTAATGCAGCAAGTTCTTGGCTGAGGAATATTTGAGGGAATATGAAAAACAACGTTTGACGAATAATTGGATTGCTTGGAGAAAATCTTTTGGCTGTTCACTTGTCAGTTTCGCGAGTGTCTATGTTTGCATGCGTGCGGCGATGTAGAGTTTGGATATCTACTAGCAGACAACAAAGAAACACTAGCTGCGATTGCAAGCACCGAGCTGCGAAATGGTGAAAGGGGAGGTAGCGGACGCATTTGATTTGAAGTTGAACAATATCTCAAGTACCATGGGACAATTAAGTACACATATGTATTAATTTATAAACCAATTGCAAACGATATAATTAATGCAAATAAATACAGACAAATATATCTACTTATACACACTCAGATATGAATATGCACGTTAGCATTTGATGATGAATTATATACTAAAACACAAATCTTATACAACACATCCGTACATATTAAATACAGACATATATATATATTTATGTATCTACTGTTTGTAAAAAATCTGAAAAGGGTTATGCGAACGAGACAAGTGTGGCGAGAGAAAAAATCTATAGACTAGCAAATTTAAAACCACCATTGAACAAAACCACCACAACATTTATAATAAACCCAAATGACGGACTCGTGAATTTCCAAAAACCATATGGACACAATAACTTCCTACACCATTGGACACATACTACTACATTTCGCGCCTACACCAGACAGACCTACAAGATGAACTAGTGCCACTTCAGCACACTTTCAAAGAAAAAAAAA